CGTCGCGGGCGTCGAAGTCGGCGTAGCAGCAGAGTCGAACGCTGGTGCGAAAACTGACTCCGTTCGCCTTGCGGAATCCCTTATGTACCCTCGTGGGTTTCTGGATCGTTCGGCGTAGAAGGTTCGGCGCGTAGAACATTCTGACCTCGAACAAGCAACATGATTCTCGAATTTACCAGAACATTACTTTACAGAGTCAACAAAAATGCGCCTCCGCGTCCAGGAATCGAACCCTGGCTTCCAGCGTGGAAAGCACGCGCGATAACCGTTAGGCCACGCGCGCGCTGCCTACTTGGCCAGCTGCGCGCGCGGCAATATCGCTGCGGCCTCTTGTTGCTTGGTAGGCGTGCGCTTTAATCTGTGTATGTGTAATACGCCTCGCAAGTGGGCTCATTTTCGTCTTCTGCGCATGAGAGAGGAAGTAGCGGTGACGTCAGAACACCGAGCCCTGATTGGCTGATCGCGACCCCCTATCTGAGCGTCGTCTGCTCCTTTGCAACGTCGTCTGCTCGCAACGTCGGCTGCGTCTGTCTTACCTTTCCTGCGATTTTCCGAAGTGCAGGTCTTTACGAGCGAGCTTGACTTCGCCTTTCAGAGAGGACAGACGAAATAACTCGAGCGGTACGTTGTTTTTGTCGAACAACTAGCAGACGCGCATCAAGGAGAGAAGTCAAAGGACTCACTGGCGAGGTGTCCCGAGGCGCCGATGTTTGTTTGCTAAGAACCGAGAGTGAGCGTGTTAGTGCCCGCAAGTTCCCTCCCAAATACGTTTTCCCTCCTTTCGTGTGCGGCGAGACCCCTCATTCTTTAACGGCGTCGGCGGGTTGGCGCAGTTAACGCCGTCTGCTTTACGTCTGCTCGTCAAAGAGATGGCTGCTTTACCTTTCCTGCGTCTGTCGGAGATTCACCGCTTTTTCACCGGCGAGAGTCACCGTTGCCTCGGGAAACAAGGAGATAACAAGAGAAAGAAATCGACCTCTTAATCTAAAATTTAGGTCAGCGATCGAAGTATAATACGGGAAGGGTTCAGAAGGGTCGCGCGGGCATATTCCATTCAGCACGCCGTCGTGGGCAGACGATCGCCGAGTCGCGGAGTGCCTGCTAGGCCTAACAGCCGTGCTCCCTTGGTCGCTTTCGGTGGAATCCTGGCCGTTGGAGCTTTTCCCGAGTATTTGTGGATCCAGCTTTCTTGTTCGTCGTGGTCTGTTTGAAGTACTTTTTACTTTTTTCTTGCTGCCTGAAGTCGGGACGCGCGAGAAGCGCACGTAGAAAAATAAACGTCCGTGGGTCGTCGCGACCGTGACGCTGTCGGCCATGCTGATTTGATCGTAAGAAGTGCGTAAAACAGCTTCGGAGCTGTCGTAGGATTTCGTCGTAACCTGCGCAGAACTTACGAAAATTTCGTTTCGTGAATACGAATTTGTTCTTAAGTTTTGTCTTACGCACATTTTTGGCGTAAGATAGTTTCGTGAACTAGCCTCTGCACTTCCGAAAGTCGCAGGAAAGGTAAGACAGACGCAGACGACGTTGCGAGCAGACGACGTTGCAAAGGAGCAGACGACGCTCAGATAGGGGGTCGCGATCAGCCAATCAGGGCTCGGCGTTCTGACGTCACCGCTACCCCCTGCGCAAGAAGCAGACGAACTTGCCCTCCGCATATGTTCAAGAAGTTTCTTGTGCTTCCTTTTCCATAGAATAAACTTCAGTTGCGAGTAAGCCATTGTCCTGTCGCGCTCGTTTCCTTTTCGTCGTTCGTGTTTGTTCTTGATCGTGTTTCACTGTTACCAACTGGCCCAATTTATAATCGTGATGTCACGTCCCCCCCGCTCGATCGCGCCCTTCTTTTCCAGGAATGCTGCCATACACTGGAGTTATCGATGTATGAGCGATGTTTTGGAGTTTTTAGCGTCCCCTTCAACGTTTTTGCGGCCTTATATTGTGAAATCCTAATATCCGTGTCCCACTAGAGCGACATACAGAAACAAAAGACAAAGACAAGCCTCAAACCAGAGTCTTTCGCGATTTGAGACGCTTTACAGAGTAACGGAGGCTATGCTCAAACACGAGCATCATGCACGCGAGGGAATCTTTAAGAGGCTTGCAATCGCTCGTGCTTACTTCGCGAGCACCGAACGACTAAACGCCTGCCAAAGGTACCATCACGAGCATGCTGCATGGGTTTGAGGCTTGTTGCTGTCTTTTGTCTCTGTCTGTCGCTCTAGTGGGACGCGGGCATAAGTTCGCTTCAGCATTCCTTTAAGTGGGAAGGGGTGGGAGGAGTCTTCCCTGAATTATTAGCTTGTGACTGACAATGGGTGGATAAAGACTATAATTCTTCGTCTGAGTAGGGCTTCCCGCATTACTTTTGCTTATCATGGCAGAATGCAAGTATCCTAGCTGAAGTCCATGACAGGTTAAGAATGAAGTGGATGCCTCCTTTATCTCTTTCAACTTTAGCAGAGAGAATGCTCCTCTAAAGTATAGTTTTGCTGCTACGACAGCGGGTGGCATCGCTGGTGATGCAGATTTATGCAATCGGCCACTTGTACGCTAGTCTAAGCTTTTCGGAAGTTCAAGTTAACCTTAATGTGTTGTTCCTTTTACTTAAAAGACCCCTTGTATACCGTCAACACATTAGGTTAGGATATGGAAAAATGCTGACTGAAGCGCCAAGAGGGTGGTACGAGGACAGTGAGGACAAGCTGTTGGCACGTCAGGAGTACGGGACGGCGGTATTTGAACGCGATGTTTTCGAAATGTGGGGCCAATGACGCAGGGCTTTTGCGACAAAGATTCTGCATGTGAGACGATCGCGCTACACCCGCGTAAATGACTGCACCTTGGAACACAAAATTAGTCAAACATAATTGAGAGTTTTAGTATATCGTTTCGGCTCTCCCGCTACGCTATACGCAAGAGCGACGAAACTACTGCGCATGCGCGCTGCTAGCGGAAATATTGCGGATCTGCGGGGGCTAGCGGAAGCGAGCTATCACGCCAAAATAGCGAGGCGCGTAGCGCGGCGTGCTAGCGTAGGTCTCGCGAGAACGAGTCTCGGCGAGATAAGGAAGAGCCAGCGAGGGACGCAATTCAAGATGGCCGCCACGCCGCGCCTGTCTGGTCTGTGCCCTTCGCCATCGTGGTTCTGAGGGGTGGATTATATCTTGCTGCTCGAGGAAGTAGCCGCGTCAAAGCCGTTCCACGACTGCAACAGGTAGCGATTTATGGCGGACATGCTAAATACGGCCACGAACAAAAAAAAAAAAAAAAAAAAAAAAGCTTTGCAGTTCGTGGTATTGTGAGCGAAGGGTGCGGGCTCCTGCTCGGCCGCTTTGTCGTGAGGACACAACCGACCTAGGAAGCCAGCGAGCAGGCGGATATGAGGGATTTCCGTGGCGTTTCGTTTTCGATGAACAACGACACAACAGAAGAGCTACGCTTGTTGTCATCTATTTTTGAAGATTTTTCTCGGTGGCTTAGGCGCTTGACTCCTATCAAATTGGCTTGGACAACTTGGCCGTAGTTGCAGTTACAAAAGAATCAACGATTAGCACGTTATTCAATAAAGAACAAAATATTCTGTTAAGATAACGACGTTAATACAAAAAAATTCCGAAGAATTGCTTTACAAATCTGTTTTACGCAAGCCTTAGTGTTCGAAAGAGTCGCTAGTGGCGTTGCGTCAGCTCTCGTAACGCTGTAATCCATAGCGGGTGGCGAACGTGTTACTAAAACTTAAAATGGCGGTTTCGTTACGTTACATATAGCGGATGCCGTAGCGGCTAGCGGATAACGCAGCGGGAGTGACTGAACGATCTGCTAAAACACTCTATTGCTGAACGTAATACGTTCTCGCTCGGTTCCATCGGCTATAGACGGAAATTATAGCTTGGCGGCGGGTGTCTGCTGGTGGTGAGGGTGTCCTGGCGGAAGTCAGTCAGTCTGGATCAGTTCCGCCAACTTTGCGGCGGCGTGTCTTTTTGTCTCTTCTCTTTTTTGTCTGCGTGGACGGATTTAGGCTCGCGAATGAACTCTCCTGCCGTTCGAGATTTGGTGTCGCCCTGTCCGTTACTTTATTTCACCTCGTCTCAGAGTTTAGATTACGATGCTTCCTAAGCTATTTTTGACGGCATACTTTTGATTCTTACAATCCATAATCATGGCTGCTTCAGACAGTCCCGTTTTCTTACATTACCCTACGAAGGCTTACGTATACAAGTCACCGCGACATCTCTGCTTAGTATCAAGCGTGGCTATACCAATTCAAGGAGATAGCCTGGCACGCGACGGTCGAGACACGAATGCTTCGACGACTTATACGTAATGCGAGAAAACGCTGCTGTGTGCACCAGTCTTCGAGTTTTCAATGGACACTTTTTCAAAAGTTACGCTTCATAGCTGCTCTGTCAATTATCCGAGTCGGCCATTATTCGGGCACCACACGCTGAACGTAGATTGGACACGACTGCTGCGTCACTGTTCGGCGTGGACTCGGAACCATTCACGAGTAGGTGCCCAAAAATGCCGGCCGCGAATGTTGCCTGATGGGATTTTGAAAAGGCTCTATAATTCAATAAGCTGCCTTCGCTACAGATGGTTATCGTTATTTCTGAGCGCGGATCCTCAACACATATCCTGCCTAAAAACAACAAAATTATTAACGTATTTTTATTTTGAACCATTCGGTAAGAGTCTTATAGAATATAATTTAATTCTTGAACGACTGCTCATATAAAAGGTAACCAGTAAAACACCACTGATGCCTAAACTAGAGGATATCGCCTGTGTGAGATTTTCACCAAAGCCTTTCTTATTGTCTATCACAGAACTGCGCAAAAGGCTATTTCTCACATGTCAGTAATTTCCTATTTTGCCACTAAAAAAAAAAGCGAAATCAACGAGTCGTTCATGACATTTATATTGAAGGATATATTAAATACACGTGTCTAGATGTAAAAAAAAAAAAAAATACAGTGTCAGCGAAATGAAAAATTACTTACTGCTTCAACTCCAGTTCTCCCTCCTTTTCGGCCGTTTCTTTCAAGTGTTCCGCTGTTGTTCGGGCGCAGTCCGCTATTAAGGAATTCATCTGTAACAAATGTTTTCTGCACTGTGAAGTGTGCACGAAATACCTCTGATATAAAATCTGCAACATACAGAATGCTCAATATGGAGTTTTACACATTTGTTTTCTTTCTAAAACAAGCCGTGAAAGCTGTACTAATGAGTTCTGCACGGCTGAGTTTTACGACCGGGTCAGGGCGCGGTAAGTTAGATACTAAATTAAACTTCGGTAATTGTTTTGAATTAGTGGAAAGAAAAATAAGATTCAAATTTTAAACTCACTATCAGCGACATCAAAAACCATGAAATCGGTAAATGTAATGAAAAACAAAACAAACAACAACAACAACTTTGATCCCTAAAGTTATCAGGCACAGAGCTGGCGGTGTTAAATGCCGGATTATAAAACCTCGGCGCGTTTTGCATCCGCATTCTGGCACCTCCAGCCTCGAACCTATTAGAAGGCGCGGAGTGCTTTCAAGCGCTCCGCGCCTTTCTAAAATATAGTTTAGTGGTTTTGGACAACGCTCAGCAGGTGTTTTAATGAAACCATATATTTATCTTCACTCATAAAATTCAAAATTTTACCTAATTAAGCTTTTCATTTTGACGTATAAGACCCCTCTTTTGTGTTCCCTTGACCGCATATAACTCACCCGCACAACCCCCGTTAGTGCCGCTTTAATAGCAAACTGAAAAATACACAAAAAAAAAAAAAAAACATTTAGCACAGCAAACGTCAGCGAGCTCGTAAAGTTAAATGAGACATCGTATCGTCTCGGACAATACCAAAGGTAAGAGCCCTTCTTGCAGAATCTGGAAGCGCACAAACCTTGCGTAGCTTTCCCGCAGCAAACGCTGGGCTGGCTGCCGGTCGGATCCGCCTCCACTTGTCAACAGGGAGGATGCTCATCATGTTCTCCAAGAGTGAATCGCCGAAACTTAAGATCTGCGCAGCGAATTTATATCATATGGCATGTGTTTTACACAGTGGACCCTTCTCCAAAACGGCTCGCCATCTATAGTAGTAGCCGCCGCGTATGAATATACGAGTCCGCCAATATTTGGGCACGCGCATACTTCGAACACGTATTGGACACAAGTATACAGCCTCAGCGCTCGGCGAGGGATCAGAACCAATCACACGGTTCGGACGCAAGAAGTGGCGACAGCCAATGTTGCTCGATGTTGTTTATTTTTTTGTTGAAAGGGTCTGTTCCACGAGGAGGGACCGCCGCGAAGAACCCTCACGAAGGAGACCGTGGTGCAAGATCGTTCACCAGGTTCCTTTCACGCCCTCAAAACTGTTGTTCGTGGCGGACGATGAGCTGAGGCGTATGCAAGCTGTTCCTGAAGAAGTCTGCATTCCCCGTCGTGGGCATTGCGCGTGAGCAGAAACCAGATTCGCGTCAAGTGAACCTTGTGCGCATGATCAGTGTCGACAGCAGCGCCACCGCAGATGCGTCACGTCAGAGCCACGCAGGCCGTATAGTTTTTCCGGCTTTAACCGAAAACCACCGATAAATGTCGTCCGCCTTAGCCTTACGATTTGTTGAAGTGTGACATGATAACAAAAAATTTTGCAGCGACAGCTGTTAGTGCCCCGTTCCCGGTTGTTCGATGGCGTTAGCGTAAACAGGGAGTTTTCGTAGATCGTTTTCCTTCCTCTGATACGCTCTCCGCAAACGAATGGTGAATTCGGGTTGTCGCCTCTCTCCTATGACCTTGATTCAACAGAGCGCCTCATCCTCGTCGCCAGAGCTACTCGAGATCCTTTTCAGCGGATCACAACTGCCGATCTCAGAGCGCTCTGACCATGGGCGTACCAACCAGAGGGGGGGGGGGGGGGGGCAAGGGGGCGGTCGCCCCCCCCCCTCCCAGTTATCAGAGAGGGGGGCAAGGCATATGTTTTGCCCCCCCCCCCCCCCCCCCTGAGATAGCCCCCACTAGGCACGACAAACACTGGCCGGCGGCGCCCAAGGGATACCAAGGGCATTGCCCCCGGCCCTGGTGGGGGGTCTGGTTTGCCCCCCCCCCCCCCCTCAAAAACAAGTTGGTACGCCACTGGCTCAGACATTCTCGGACCAATCACGGGTAAAACTTCTTGACATTGTTAATGTATAAAAAAGATTTTACAGCGTACGATTGACGATTGTACAAAATTTACTCTCTCAACGTGATGAAAAAAAGGCTGTGGCGGACTATAAACTGTTCTACGCGGCAGCATGTTTTTATAAAAAAATACAACAACAACAACAACAACAACAACAACAACAAAAACAACAACAACAGCAGCTTGCGAATATATTTTCGCAGAACGGAGCAAATAGTTGTCAACTATTCACTTTTCGACAGTGAACGCGCTGCGATAGCGGTCATGGTACGGCAGAGCAGGCAAATATACAATGGTTATTAAAAGGCATTTTTCTCACTACGAAATATCGTGCAAACATCACCCACATCAGATAGCATGTATCGCAATGTGACACAAATCACACTGCATTATACACCAACTCATGTTTGCAAACAAACCGGAGCGCCCCTAACGGACGTCACCGGCGCCGCGCATGCGCGATAAGGGTGTGGGCAAGAAGCTCACTGTCGCCCATAAACAAACCATTGGAACGCGATGTTGTCGGCGTGGGTGTGAGTCCCCCTGCCCTTTTTCTCGTTCGAATTGTTGATTCTACGTCTTCCTGGCGATGTCTGACTACTTGAGCGGCGTCAGCGAATTACCGAGGCTCGTTACACCGCGAAACTTCGCGTGAATAATGTGACATGTGGCGATTCATTCCGCGTGGACGCCGCAGTATGTACGCTAAAGCCTGATTCGCATGATGCGATTTCGCTCGCAGTTTTCAGTCGCGACGCCGCTCGGGCTGCAAACGCGTGAACCGTAGCTGAGATAGTCGACGTTAATACTGAAAATCGGAAGCAGAATCGGACGAAGTGAATTAGGCCTAGCAAGTCGGTGATGGTTACTGCTAAAAATGATCCACATCTCCATGTATCTCCTGTTTTATCGAGCCTGCTACAAACCTTCAAATTTAAGTGTTTTGAGGCCTGCACTTGCTTCTTATCGCAAGCACCGGGCCAACAATTGGTCTACGGGCCGGCGTTGTCTAAGAGAGCAGACGACAACCAGAAGCGTTTGAAGAGCAGACGACAGTTCGAACGATCGGGCGGCCGTTTAAACTTGGAGGCGCACTAAACGTAGTCCGCAGGTGGTTCCCACAACTTGACGGTTTTCTGGCGTTCATGTTGGAACAAAACAAATAAATCTGATGACAATAAGTATTCGTGAATTCAACCCAAAGTGCTTCCCGCCCAAGCAATCGTTGTCCGACAGCGTCTGCTTTTCCCTTTTCACGGCACATGTCCAGATTCTCGGACGAACCGAGCACGTGAAAACTGACCTTCAAACCTTTCTCGACACTTTTGGTACGGCTCCAGTCGCGGCGTTTTGACGAGAAGGCAGGTTTTTGTCTGGTTCCTTTCAAAACAACGCAGGAATACACGTCTGGCATGGGGACTTCTGCCCACAGTCCCAGACCGGAAGTGCGACCGACGCGCCACCACGGCGCCGTGACGTAACATAGATGAGTTCGTGTATACACCAACTCATGTTTACAAACAAACCGTAGCGCCCCTAGCGGACGCCACCGGCGCCGCGCATGCGCGATGAGGGTGTGGGCAAGAAGCTCGTCGTCGCCCATGAACAAACCATTGGAATCCGATGTCGTCGGCGTCGGTGTGAGTCCCCCTGCCCTTTTTCGCGTACGAATTGTTGATTCTACGTCTTCCTAACGACGTCTAACTACTTGAGCTGCATCAGCGAAATTACCGAGGCTCGTTACACTACAAAACTTCGCGTGAATAATGTGACATGTGGCGATTCATTTCGCGTGGACGCCGGAGTATGTACGCTAAAGCCTGATTCGCATGATGCGATTTGGCTCGCAATTTTCAGTCACGACGCCGCTCGGGCTGCAAAAGCGTGAACCGTAGCTGAGATGGTCGACGTCGATTCTGAGAATCGCAAGGCATAACAAGTCGGTGATGGTCACTGGTAACAATGATCAACATCTCCTTGTATCTACTGTTTACATCGAGCCTGCTTACCTACCTTCAAATTTAAGTCTTTTGAGACCTGCACTTACTTCTTATCGCGAGTATCGGGCCAACATTTGGTCTACGGGTCGGCGTCTTCTCAGAGAGCAGACGACAAGCAAAACGTTTGAAAGAGCAGACGACAGTTCGAACGATCAGGCGGCCGTTTGAACTTGAAGACGCACTGAACGTAGTCCGCAGGTGGTCCGCACAACTTGACAGTTTTCTGGCGTTGATATTAGAACAAAACAAATAAATATGATGACCACAAGTATCCGTGAATTTAACCCAAAGTGCTTCAAGCCCAAGCAATCGTTGTCCGACGGCGTCTGCTTTTCCCTTTTCACGGCACATGTCCAGATTCTCGGACGAACCGAGCACGTGAAAACTGACCTTCAAACCTTTCTCGACACTTTTGGTACGGCGTTTTGACGAGAAGGCAGGCTTTTGTCTGGTTCCTTTCAAAACAACGCAGGAATACACGTCTGGCATGGGGACTTCTGCCCGCAGCCCCAGACCGGAAGTGCGACCGACGCGCCACCACCGCGCCGTGACGTAACAGAGATGAGTTCGTGTATAGTTGGATCTCCGTTTTAGAGCGCAGCTCTTAGACGCCCGTTTCCGGCCTGAGCGGCGTCGGCGTCGCAGTCGCCGTCAGCGTAACCGCGCGGTGCATTATCGGTAAATTTTCCCGAAGGAACCCGAGGTCCTCCCGAAGGACCTTGGGTTCCTTCGGGAGGATTTTGGGAGAACCTCGGGAGGACCTCCGGTTCCTTCTGGAGTACCTTGGAGGAGCTCGGGTTCCTTCGGGAGGACCTCGGGAGGACATCAGGTTCCTTCGGGAGGACCTCGGGAGGACCTCGGGTTCCTTCGGGAGGACTTCAGGTTCCTTCGGGAGGACCTCGGGAGGACCTCGGGTACCTTCGGTGACATCGGGGAGGGGGGTCACGTGACCCCCCCAGGTCACGTGACCCCTCCCCCCCCCCCTCCGACAGCACGTGACCCTCAGTACCCTTCCCTTCTCCTCCTAAAGAGATACGCTCTAATTCAGCGTTACAAGGTAAACGGCTTTCATTTCTTTTATAACACAAACCTTTGAACGCGTATTTACCAAACTCGAAAATTTTTTAAAGAGTCCACAAAACCCGGTAAAACAGCGGCGAGCTCTGGGAGCTGTTTCTTCATCGGGCAGGTTTAGCGGGTTCACCACCGTGAGATCCACGATATGGTAAAAGCGAATGTCGTCTCATATATTGCAATCCTCGCACCGTCGAACGCACAAGCCCTTTGTAGAACCAGATATTCATCGCCGTCATGCCTCACTCCGCCGACCACTGCCGGCCATCGTCAACAAAACCACGTGATCCCCATTTATGTACTAGGTGACACCTGCGCAGCCCCGCACATAGTACATATGTTAAACAGAGTGTAACATGCGTACTATTATAATGAAACTATTAGGCAGTTGTTAAGTAACGAGCGAGACAGGACACCTTGGTCGACTTAGCGCGATGCGCCCCGCTTTACTAACTCCGATATGTACAACATGGTTCTGTTCCAGAAGGCTCCGTGTAGAAGTGGCCGTGGCTCGCGTTAGCACGCGCAGGTCCGTTGGCCCATGCTCGCGCGCCGCGCTCTTCTCACGATACCTTCAGTACACAACACCTCCCCCCGAAACGTAATCTTGTAAGTACCGAGGACGACGCTGTTCACGCTGTGGGCGTCCTAATGAAGAAACACCCGAAGTTGGATTTGGAGACTGCGGATGCGGTGTTGATAGGTTATCCTGAACGGGCTCTTCCGTACTCGACGTGACGTCCGGCCCAACGTCATGGCCAG